GTTGTTAACCAATGTCATAAAACAACATGTGTACTACTGTTTCATGAGAAACTATTTGTTCTGTAAGCCTTCACCTGAAGTACAATAAAATATTATATAAAAAAAAAAAAAAAGAACGCTGGTTTTGTTAAGCCCCTGTCAATTCTTTCACCTCTCAGAAAGGTAAATCCAACCTCTCTGGAAGAAAGGATATTTTTAAAATGTATTGTGCTGCTGTGGCATCCCTGAGCTGCTCATGGAGCAGAAGGAACATGACCCGGGCTTCTTTTCTCATTACATTAAGTAAGCTTCTACGGATGTCCCCCTTTCTGATGACCTGGCATGGGGGTGGAATTAGCAGCGACTCCAGGTCCCCGAGGCGCTTCCAGGTGGCACTTAATCCATCCCGCTGCCCCATACCAGCTCACATGTCTACTCTCCAGCCAGAGAGATGTCTGTATCCAGGGAGCTTCATCCTGACGCTAACAGGAGTCAAATCTATTTGCAGTGTGAGTGTCTCTCAGATGGCAGTGATCAGAATCCCAGTGTGTCAGCGTTGGAGGTGGAGCTGGGAGAAGGAGAATCTCTTGCTGGTTGTGGACCATGTATTCTCGTTAAATTAATGCACCCGACATTCCCTGAATATCTACCACGCCCCAGTCCTCCAAGATACCAGGTTTGCATGTGAATGCAGCAGAGTATCAGAAATGGTCCCCCACCGACCCTTGTGCCCCATTCAACAAATCCCACCTTTCAGAAGGACAAAGGCTTAACCCAAACAATAACACATCCTTTCCAGAGAAAAGCGCTCATTCATCTTCAGGGCAAGCATTTTATGTGGCCCTTGGTCTACTGGCTCTTTGCCACAGGCTGACAGGAAATCGCCTCCCAGCAGCCCCTCACCCTATTCCTGAGGATGGAGTCAGCACACACGTGCTAACTGATCTTTTGGCACGAAGGAGAGTCTTGAATTAAATGGTTCAAAGGCATTTTTCCTGCCTTACAGTTTGGCCACCTTTCCCTTTATGCAGTGAAATCTACAATAGTTTGGAATTTATGATCCTTTGGACAGGGACTGGGCTGAAGTCGGCTTCTGGACTATTCTCCATAGAAAGGATTTTCGAAGAAAATTAATACCTTGCCAAATGAATTGTAAAGGGAATGCTTATTCTATTTAAGGGGGCCTGCTTTTCTAGCCCTTTACTAAGGCTCCTGCATCCACAAACAATTGGTATGCTAATTTCAGATGAGTTTTACACGTTCATTAAGTCCTCAGCTACTTTTCGTTGATATCCTTATTGTGGATAAATGCTAGGTTTTCACTTTGAGCAGAAACTTCTTAGGTACAAAGTTTTTTGGCTCAAACAATTAACTATGAGAATTAAGTGACTGCCAGGCAAAATGACTGCGCTTCTGTGGGGGGGACAAAATAGTGAGAGAGCAGGGCGTGGTGGGGGGTCTCTCTACAACTTTGGGTGTTTTCCTGATTCATGCTGGCTCTCTGCCAGCAGGTACAGGGTGAGGTTTGACTGTGGAGATCCTATGTTCTAGTTAGCCTGAGATAGTCCCTGCTAGGGCCTCTGTTCTGGAATGATTACTAACAGCAATTCCTTTGACTCTTGCATATGTCCTGGTTCAGTCCAAAAATCATACAGAGTCACTCTAGATTTGTGGAACCAAGGAATTAAAATTGTGATTGTTGAGGAGTTTGCACCTTCCCTAGACTAGCAGTACCACATCACTTCTATGCAAACCTAAAGGCAGCTCAAGAAGGTTAGCATATCAATCAATTCTGAATCCACATGCCCCACCACTCACCACCCTCAGATTAGAAAGCAGCTAACAGCTGGGGGAGAGGAATTGTGTGACCACTTCCCTCTCCAATTCCACCTCATGTATGTTAATTCCACCTCAGGGTAGTTGCCCCTCATGAGTTGGAATCCTGCAACTTTTCCTGTCAGGATTATTTGAGGAAGAATGGCATAGAGAACCCAATACTGGGAAGAATTGTTGATTTCCTTTTGGCCACAATGAGCTCTGAGCTATTTGTTTTCGAACCAACATTTCTTAAAACATTCGCCACGCCACGCACTGTGCATAGTGCTTTACCTAACTCAGTTCTTACAACCCATTGTCAAGGTGGCTACTGTTATGATTCCTATTTCAAAGACAACAAAGCAGGCTTGCCCAAGACACTCAGCTAGTAAATGGTTGAGCCAGGACAAGACTCCAGGTTTGTCTGGTGCTGCGGTCTGAGCTCTTAGCCACTCTGATATACTGCCGCCCATTCTGCTATACTGTTCTGACATTTGAGTCAAGCATCTGCTTGCAACTTGATACATTATAAAGCTATTGCCTCATCAAGTATGCCTCACGAGGGGGGTGGGCGGGGAGGAGGAGACACCTAGGGGAGGTTTTGCTTGGAGTGTGGCATGCATATTTCTATGAAATCAAGGCGCTGAACGCATCCTTCCATACTGGTACTAAATTATCTTCAGAGATAGACTTAAAGTGTCCTGGAGAAGTTCTTTCAGGGGGTGGCCCTCATCTGTAAGCAAATGTTAAGTGTGTATCCAACAGGACTGGCTGACGGTTCATCTGACACTCCCCCATCTCCCTGCAGACAGCTACTTGGACAGATCTGCTGACTGTGAGCTGGGCTTGCTCACAGAACTCAACAACATTTCTGATTAAGACCAAGACTCCCAGACTGCCTGTAGATAAAGCGAATGGGACCCAGGTGATTCTCTGGCAGTGTTTCTGTCCTTTTCCCTCCTAAGAACTCAGCTTTGGAAACATACCATGTTCACCCTTAAGTAAGTAAGAACATTAGGAAAGAGATGGAAATTGGCCATCACTGGAAGTGGCTGGGTTGGGCGAGAATGGGGATGATTCAGGTTGGATAGCCAGTCTGTTTAAAGGCAACTCAAACCTTCTGTAGCCTTTCCTGAGGATTTTGATACAAGTGCCCCCTGCTCACTTTATACCCCAAACCACGAGTAAAAGCTATAAAACTGGAATCTGTTCTACAGAGAGACCACACCTGCCACAGAAGTATCGAAGAGGATCCTTCCAGCATGACATGAACCAGGGGCTGATGGGGTAGTTTCCAGGGGCAAGGAGACCCAGGATATTAAACACACCAAGAGTGAAAAGATAGCTGTAGGGAGGGGAGAAGTGGATATTGTGAGTCTCCGATGGATTCCACTGGGATCTGCACAAAGCTACAGAAGGCATGAGGGTTGGGAGACCTTGTGGGCAATTCGTATGGCTGAGAACCGAGCAAGGAAGGGACACAAAAGTAACTGACTGATAGAGAAAGGGGGAAGGTACCAAGCAAGGTAGGCATTTGGCATAAAAACACCACCTGGAGCCTGATCTCTCTCTGTACCCCGAAATAGACGGAAGAACGGACGAACTGCCACACTTCTAGTTGCCAGTGAGGTTTCCTCTAGTCTCTTCTGCAAGGGCATTTTTGTTGGCTAAACGCCGCACCTGATTTGCCAACAGTCTGTGCTCTCCGAAGGTGGAACGGATGGCAGAAGCCCAGGAAGATAAAACCGCTGACGTCAAAACTCTCCACAAAGAACCTCATTCCGAGCAAAGAAAACACCAGCTTTCTCCGGTCTGTGTCAGTGGGTGTCCCCTCCCTCCCATTTGCAAATACTGGCTGCCTTTGCTGCCACTGATGTATGCAGCCTGCTACACCCTGGTGGTCCATCCTGTTTTCAGTCCATCCATTCCCAACATGGGGCACCCATACCCATTTTTTTTTTTTTTTCCCTAGAAACCTGTATGAGCCAGGTCTCCACCAAACTGGGAAGAGAAAAGTTCTCCAGATTTTTTAGATGTGATTCCTCTGCAGTCCTCCACTCCACACCTGCTAGAAAGTTCACACTCCGTTGTGCCAGAACAAGCGTTCTGTCTGAAGCACTTTTCGAGACAGGTTTTCAATCGACTCCCTAATGCAGCCTGCCAGGATTAATAAATCCCCCCAAGTGGTCCCCCCACCCCGTCCACTTCTCTCTTCTTCTCTTGCTGAACCACTCAGCCAATACCAGCAACCGACGAGTTTTCATACTGCTTTGATTTTCCCTGACACAGGGCACAACCTTCTCCCTTTCGTTCTCAAACTGCTCTAAGTGGAATGATTTATGAAAAGAAGTGGGTTTTCTCTGTCTTAGAATGCTTCCGTTTTCCCCAACCTCCTCCTCTCCTTTTCACCCCACATCCTGTTCTCCCTCTTTCTACCAGTCTTTCGTTTCTTCCCTGACCCTCCTCCCCCTAAACCATTTTCACCACTAGCTGAGAATTTTTTTTTTTTCTCTCATCGCTGAGTTCAAAGCAATCAGACTGTTTTGAAAAATCGCATAAAACTCTTTTCTTCACAGTTTTGGAAGGCCCCTCCCTGACTCGAGCTCAGAGTCCTGGTTTTGGATGCTGGAGAGAATTCAGCAGTAGCAGCCAGAAAGGCGTGGAGGAGGGTGCTGTTTTGGGTGTATTTGAGGGAACAGCATATGGGCTTTTGTCAAAATGTTCGGAGCTTGCTAGCTTCTGAGCTGAGTATAGAACTGGGCTGCAATCCCCAAATACTGCTTGAGCAGCTTCAACGCTCATCTTCCCTTGTACAACCGCCCCCCCCCCCCCACAGCCATCCCAAATCCATCATTCCTTCAAAACACCCCCCAATACCAAGAAAAGTTTCTCAGAGTTAAAGTCGTACGGCACCTGCACGGCCTACCCCGAGAGGGCAAAATTTCTTGAATAAAAGCTGCTTGTCTGTTAAGTGTCCCTCCCTTCAAAGAACCCCAGTCCTTTCTCTACAGCTTCTACCTCATACAAGCAATTAGTTCCCATGTTCCAGGGGAAGATACCAAGTAGTGATGGGAAAAGGCAGGCGCCCTGGCCCAGCCGCCTGCATCTACCCCTCAGAGCTCTGGGGTACAGGCCAGAAAGGGGGTCCACTGGGGCCTCCTCTCTTGGGAAGGAGGTCGTTACCTTGGCAGAGGCTTGCGGGCCGTGATACTGGCGACAATGATGCTCTCGGGACGCGGGGTGGCCACCGCTTTGAAGGTTCCTCGCCAGAACTTCTCAAAAAGCTGCTTCTCGCCTTGTTGAACGCTAGCCATAGCCAAATCAAAGGGGCCCGGGCACCCGGGCGCTGTCCGAAGTGCTGAAACGTGGATTCCAAACGGAGGCGCACCCGGCTCCCAGTTCCGTCCTTGTGAAACCCAAAGGGGTGGGGTAGGAGAGATCCGGGTTCGGGGCGCCTCAGCCCGAACAGGCAGCGGAAAAAGGCTTGTCCGCCGGCTTTGTTGGTCTTCTGGGCTGGCTCTAGGCTGCAGTCTGAGCTTACTGCGCCCCAGGAAAGGAAGGGAGAGCTGGCTTTCTTGGCCGCACCAGGAGGGAAGAGGAGACAGGGTCTTCTGTGTGTGCGTGCGCGTGTGAGCTCCGGCGCGCCCGGGTTTTGTCTCTCGCACAATGTGACGTTGGAAGAGGAGGCTGGTCGCGCGAGCTGCACTTTCCTCCCCCCTCTCAGTGTCTCCTCCTCCCCCAACCCCCTCCTCCTTCGGCTCAGCCTCTTGCCTCCATCTGCATAACAAAAGCCCGCAGGTTCTGGGAGGAGAAAGGGCGGGGCGTGCGCCTGTCACCGGGGCGCAGCGACAGAGTTGCAGCGCCGATCCCTCAGAGAAGCAGTCCTGGCACCCTGAACTGAATCAGGCTGGAGACTGGAGATCTGCTTCCCAGCCTGCTCCCCTCCCCCACCATTGCGGGCCTCCCCTACCCCCGCTTCCGCCTTCCTTGTGTGCTCTCGGGCCGGCCACCTACCCTCACGGCCTCTTTAGAAGTCTGTGGCGGGTCTTCTATTGAGGGGGGAAGCAAAAAACTTAACCTATCCTGCCAAGCCAACCCATCCCCCCTTCACTTCTGGGAGGGACTGCCTAGGCTGACCCCTGTGTTCCCCTTTATGCCCGAGGGGCCGCAAGATCATCGCCACCTAGCAAGTGCCATTTGATGGACAATCCAGTTCCAATTCCACTTCTCGCCATCTGCCTAGCGGTCCCGCCCGCAGAGGGGCGCAGCGTTACATCTGTCCGTGCGGCGCTGTAAGGGATATCTCTTTTGTGCCTCGCAGCCAGTCTGCCCCATGTCCCCGCTGCCAGACTGGCCCAAAGGACGGCGGACATCCACCCGCCCCCATCCACTCTTGGGGAATTCGACTGCAGGCACTTTTCTTAATACAGCTTGTTTCGGGAAGGAGTCCGTTTTGGAAAAGAAAGCGCTTAGGGGGAGGGGCTTGAGGGGGAAATCTGAGGATTACAGGGGCATAGCTATTTTTCAGTCTCTCCTCCCCATCTTTTACCTTCCCCCAGTTCAACCCCAATCCCAGCAAAAGGAGACACAGAATCACAAAGAAAGCCCAGACACAGGGGATCTGGAGCACAACTTTTATCTTCCCGTGGGTTTTCATTAAGAAACGGAAGAGAGTTTCGGAACCCCTCAGCCCATGTCTCCTTGGAGCCCTTGAATCCCATCAGAGTTGCTACCTGCCTCCCCCCCAACCCTGGCCAGTAAATTCCTGGAAGGCCTCTCTGAGTCTTAAAGCCCCCCCCCCCCAGCACCTGGCACTGGGGCCCTGCCACAGCGGGCTTAAACCCTTGCTTCTTGCTGATAACAATGGGGGCCCAAGGGACAGGGCATCCATACGTACTTCAGAAATTCCTTGAAAGGGAGCGGGAGGGGAATAGGGAAGAAAGGGTGGGAAAAAAGTAGAGAGAAGAAGGTGAAAGAGGAGAAGAAAGAACCGTTGAGTAACCGAGTAGGGTCCAGAAGGGTATATACATTTGGGTATGTGTGTATGTGAATGTGTGCCTGCTTAAGAGTGTCTGAGAGTACTGATCGCTCTGCAGCGACCCCTTCTGGCCGACGACTAGAGATGCATCTGCTGGCTTCTTAAGTGTGTAGCAGTGGCTGGGGGTAGAGCAGAAGGATTGAGGAGCCTGGAAGGGAAGGAAAGTGGAGACTAGGCTCCCTCTCCCCCCCCTCTCCTGCTGAAAATCCCCCTTTCCTCTACGGCTCTCAGGTCCTACTTCCTACTGAAGTTGATGTCATTTTAAATGCAGTTGAGAGCTGGGTCCTTAGGCAGCCTGGGATATTTGAGATCATTCTTAGTCATGACACTCAGGGTTTGAATTGCGTTACTTGCTGGGGAGAAGTAGGTGGGACTGCGCTCCAGGAGATCAGTCAGCCTCTCCCAGCCACGTTTGTAATTCCTAGAGTGTTGGTAAAACCCCCACTGCCCCTTTTGAGCCCCACATCATCCAGGTGAGGGGGAGAAGAAGCTGCCCTCACCTTTTTAAAGGGGAGGAAGCTGAGGTCTAGGATGATGAAGAGACTTGCCCAAGGTCATCCTGTAGGCAGCAAAGGAGGTCTGTGAGAAATAAAATTTCTGTTATTTCTTGGAGGGGGGAGGCCGTTGGAATACTAGATGTACCAGGTTGAGACTGTAAAATCCACGAGGTTGGTATCCACCAGCCACATACTGAGAAGCAGGTAAAAAGTCCCAAGTAAAAAGTTCAGGGAGCTCTGGTGGTGCAGTGGTTAACCACTCGGCTGCCAACTAAAAGGTCAGTGGTTCAAATCCACCAGCCACTCAGCAATAGAAAAACATGGCAGCCTGCTTCTGTAAAGATTACAGCCTCGGAAACTCTATGGAATAGTTCTTCTCTGTCCTGTAGGGTCACTATGAGTCCGAATCAACTCTCCGGCAACAGACTTAGGTAAAGAGTTCAGGGCTTTGGAATCAGACCGTCCAGTTCAATTTCCAGCTCTGTCATTTCCTAGCTATGTGATGTTGGAGAAGTCACTTCCCTTCTCTACACCTTAGTTTCTTCATCAGTAATATGGAGGTACTATAAAGATTAGAAATTGTATGGCTAAAAAGACTAGCTGGGTGGATTAAAGGAATGAATATATGTACAGGTCATGGAACAGCATCCGGAACACAGTTCACTAAAAATATCATTATCTGAGTGGTTAAGAGGGAGATATATACATATACATATAGGCAGTTGCCCTCAAGTCAGTTCTGACTCATGGTGACCCATGTGTATCAGAAAGAACTGTGCCCCAGAGAGTTTTCAATGGCTGATTTTTCAGAAGTTGATTGCCAGGCCTTTCTTCCAAGGCACCTCTGGGTGGACTTGAATTCCAATCTTTTGGTTAGCAGCTGAGCACATTAACGGTTTGCACCACTCTGGGTCTCTCTCTATATATAGACACACACACACACACACACACACACACACACATACACATACACAATTTTTGAGTGGTCAGGAGCACAGCAGGGTAGGAAGCCCAGCCCTACCACATTTTAACTTGATGACTTTGAGCTAGTTACTAATCTTTGCCTCAGTTCCCTATCGATAAAATGAAGATATCAGTGCACACTTCACAGGGTTGTAGTGAGGATTAAATGGAATATTACCTGTAAAGGACTTAGCACACTGTCTAGTTCAGAGTGAGTGCCCATTAAATGGCAGCTATTATTATTGATGCTGTTACCATTATCATCAGCTGATCTCTTAAGTTGGGCCATGTTCATGTATGATAATCATTCACTGATGCCTAATCTTGGTCAGGCACAGTCCCAGGCATGGAGGGTCCAAAGAAGAACAAGACAGGGTCCTTCCCCTGAAGGAGCTCACAGACTAGCTCACCTTCTGGGTCTCCATTGCCTAAAGTTTGTCCCCTCTCCACCTTGTCAAAGTGGCTTAGACTTTAGGTCTGGCTTCCCCAGCATGACTCTAACTACAGGTCCTCTATCATTTTATCAAAATACAACCATCCCACGTCTCATTCCCTGAGCAATACTGCTGTTTTCCCAGGGCAAGTCAGCCTACCCCATAAACTGAGACCTATCAATATGCTGGCGAGTAAATGCATATATGTGCCACAACTGCTTCTGATCCTCTACTGTGCCGATGACAGACATCACTAATCCATCAAGACACTGTTTCTGGGACATGGCCTCAGAATCCTTCTCACTACAGTCTTCTAGTTAGGCATTACTAATTGGCTGGAGTCGGCATTCCAGATAAAATCAATTTGCCATCCATGTATAGAGGGTGCTTCATTACCTGACTGACACTGCTCTTTCATTTGAACAAAGGAGAGGCCAGGGAAGAGGGATTACAGGATTTGCAAATTGAGGCACTCCAGAGCAGAAGCTAAAGAGATTCTTATGCATCCAAAAAGACAGCACCTCTGAGTCAGAGAAGTAGCAACCCCTCTTCCTAAGGCCATTCAAATTCCACCTCACTGACCTTACTCTGTTACCTTCCTTAAACACCTTAATCTCTCTGTGCCCAGGACTCCTCTGAACACAACAGGGCTAACAGACATTGTCTGCCAGCATCAAGGGACATCAAGGGAACTTTACAGTTTATACCTATTTCCAAAAATCCAGTGAACAGTAAAAGATTCAAATAATACTTGAGAAAATGGGAAATATGATGAGATCGATTCATCTTCCCTTGTGTCTTTAAACAGGATCGTGCTAAGCCATTCCAATTACATGATTCTATATCTCTTCCTTGTGTCTTTAAACAGGATTGTGCTAAGCCATTCCAATTACGTGATTCTATATCTCTTCGTCTAGGAACTTGAGTTGAAAAAGTGACTGTACTCCTTGGGGTTTACCAGTCCTCACTTCTTGGATGTTCTACCTTATGTCTAATCTGAATCCCACTTTGTGCCATTTCGTGTCTGTTCCTGTTCCTCTTCCAGAACATTGACACACACTGTTTCAAATGCCTCCTCCGCCCGAAATAACACAACAGATAATTCAGGAAGAACCCTTCTCTGGTTACACAGCACCCAAGTTTCACTGAAGGGTTCCGAGACTCTACAAGACAAACACATGCATTGCTGTCCAGATAAAAATAGCTGTACTTACCAAGTGTCTTCTAGTCACCACGTGTGGCAGACCCTTGATAAACATTATCTCATGTAATCCTTGCAACAACTCTATGAGAAAGGAACTATTACTGCCTGAATTTCAAGATTAGGAAACTGAGGCTCAACAGTGGTGAAATCACTTGCCCAGAATTGCACAGCTAGCAAG